TCGGCGAGTCGTGTGAGTCAACAAGTACGACTCTAAAGGTATCGGCCTAACTCCTCCTCTTTTAATTGCCTATTAAAACATCAATAAAATCAATAACATTTCCATTTTTATGGTAAAAAAAAAAATTTATATGTACATATATAAGTATATCTTACTAACCAGTCGATCGTCATGGATCCCAATAAAAAGGCATCTAGTTGTGTGGGTCACACTGTCACCCTTTGATCGATTTTGCCGACCTCTTTCCTGGAGTGCAATATATTTTGGACTCCTTCATTTTGCCAACAAAATTTTAAAGGTATCCTTATGCATGAACTCAGGCAACTTCTTGTCCCTGACCCACGCCTTTTGAGCTCGATGAAGCTCGTCTCGAAAATGGTTTCGACAATGTAATCTCCAGATTTTATACACACGAGCATCAACCTCTTCCCAATAATATGTCTTCTACAATGAAAAAAAAATTAAATGTTAATAATTTATTTTATTTTTCTTTTAAAAAGAGCAAAATTTTGCTTAAATTGTCATTTTTTTCACTATTATAAATAAAATATAAAAAATCATATAAAATATACCTTGTACTTCCATATCAAATACCATAAGAGTAAGGTGATAGCATCTAAAAAAATTCTCAAAAAATACTTCATTTTATTCTATAATTTTCATACCTGAAAATTCTCCCAAGCAACCCTCTTCATTTTATTCTATAATTTTCATACCTGAAAATTCTCCCAAGCAACCCTCTTCTTTTCCTCAGGCCAGCTAGACTAGAAAAGCACTGACTCATCATACAAGTACTTCCAAATGACTGTGGCAGTCCTTCCAAACCTCTCATGGTTGAATGTGCCGCGGCGATTAAGGCTAAGCACCTTTTTTTGACTCGGGTCTGTAGGAGCATCATCTCCTTTATCCATGCCACGTCCTGTCTTCGGGACAGCATGTGATAGCTCCTCCTCCAACTGAGCATCTAACTCAGGATCAAGCACAGCATACTCAGCATCCAACTCAACCTCTAAATTATGCTCTTCAGTGTCCTCCTCCAATGTTGCATCATCACCAGTGAATTGGTCATCGGCCAATGGTGG